CATAAGGAAATGCTCACAATTATTAGCCATTAGAGAGATGCAAATCAAAACAACCATGAAATGCTATCTCACCCCAGCAATAAGAGCAAAGTTCAACAGTCCAGAAAACAGCAAATGCTTGTGAGGTTGTAGAGACATTGGAACTCCCCTACGCAGCCAACAGGACTGTAAAGTGGTGTCACCACTGTAGAAAACAGAATGGTGCTTCCTTAAACAGTTGTAAATAGAGATACCATATGACCCAGCAATCCCACTACTAGACATATATTCTAGAGCAATAAGAGCCGCGACACAAATAGATACATGCACACCCATGTTCATTACAGTGTTATTCACAATAGCAAAAGGAAGGAAACAGCACAAGTGCCCATCAACAGATAAATGGATGAACAAGCTGTAGTACAGACACACAATGATACTACACTGAGTTAAAGAATAACAGCAAACCTGTGAAACATCTCATAACACGGATGAGCCTGGAGGATACTATGCTGAGTGAACCCAGGCAATCACAAAAGGCCAAATACGGTACGGGAACCAGTAGAGCGAAAAGCCAAGAAATAGTTCTCACACAGGAAGAAACATTCTTTGAGGCTCAACGGGCAGGGGGTAAGTCACTAATTGGGGGTTGACTCTGATCACTTGGATGAAGGGGGAGGTAAAACACAGTAAGGGGAAGGTCAGCACAAAACGGTCGAGGGGAAAGAAGACGGGGAGGAGCACGTGAATCAAAGGTAACAGGTAAATCCCACTCCACGAATAACCTCGCAGTGAGAGTCATAGCAGAATCTATGGGCGATGCACAGAGAGACAGGCCAGTCGAACAGATCTCACCCAGCAAACGGGACCACACCCACAAATAGATAGGGTTCGGCAGAGATACCACCTCAGAAACCCAAGGAGGGGTCGCTATGAGTCAGATCCGACTGACAGCAGTGAGTTTGGTGTTTAGAAATATATCCAAATATATAGTAAAGCATACAGGGGCCAAAGTTATGAAATCTTAGAAAATGAGTCCCTTGCCTGGGGGCTCGGGACCACAGTCTCAGGGGACATCAAGGTCCGTTGGCATAACAGAGCCCATGAAGACGACAGTCTACGTCCTACATTGGTGAGAAGTGACTGGGATCTTGAAAGTAGGACAGTGGCTATCTGAGGTGCAACCATTGGTCTCTCCCCATCCGGAGAAAAAATGGAGTGAAGAAAATCAAAGACCCAAGGCAACGATTAGTCAAAAGGATTAACGGACCACACGAACCCCAGCCTCCGTGACACTGAGACCGGAAGAACTAGATGGTGCCTGGCTGCCCCGGCTGATGTCTCTGAAAGGGACCACATACAAGGTTCTGGAGAGAGTGGGAGAAAAATGTGGAGCAAAACTCAAAGTCACAAAATGACCAGGCTTGCTCATCTGATAGAGACTGATGGAACCCCTCAGACTACGGCCCTTGGACGCCCTTCAGGCCTAGGATTGAACTCATCCCCAGGGGCTCAACTTTCCGCCAAATAACAGACTTATAAAGTGAACAGTTACACCAAGAAGGTACACAGTCCTTAGAGCAATCAACTGTATGAGACTGAAAGGGCAGCAGCTGCCCAGGGGGCAGAAAGGGAGAGGAAGGAAGGGTTAATGGAGTCAGCAAACACAGGGAGGAAGCTGAAGAGTGCTGTCACATCATGGGGGTAGCAGTCCAGGTCACAAAGCAAAATGCGTGTGAATTATTAAACGGAAAACCAGTTTGCTCTGTAAACCTGCACTCAAACCACAAGAAAAAGAATAACAGCACACACACAAAAAACACCTCATTGCCCTCGAGTCGGTTCTGACTTGTAGCGACCCCCCAAAGTGCTATCACTATGGAAGTAGACTGCCCAGTGTTCCTTCCAAGGACTGGCTGGTGGGTTTGAACTGCCAGCCTTCTGGTTAGCAGTCACATGCCTTAGGCAGTACACCACCTTGTAGGCATATTGATAGATGTAAGCTGAGCTTATGAAAAATGTTTTTGTTGTTACAAGTAATTAGGGATATTTCATTAAAAATAGTAAATTTCTTCTGAAAACTGAGCAACAATTTTATAGACAGTCATTTTGGTGCCCCCCCCCAGACAGTGTCACTGATTGCAGTCTGCATCCCCCACAGCCCCCAGTGAAGTCACTGGGGTGGGGTGGGTACCTGTCATAGATGGCAGAGATGAGCACGGATGGCTGTCGACCAGTTTGTGGGGTTGCGGAGGAAGGAGTGGGTTCGCAGAGCCGCGACTAGTCACTGAGCGCCTACTGGGTGTGAAACCCTTTGTCCGCTTGACGGTCTGCCATTCTGGTTTCCAATGTTATGTTGGTCGGTCTTGACCCCTGGGGGCCGTACGAGACCTCTGTCACCAGATGGCGGACTGCAATCCACAGGATAAGCCCTACTGCCCCTGGCAATCCAACACAGCCTGAGATGGACTTACTCAGCTGTGTTGTCTAATATAACAGGGGCCAATGGCCGCTGCTTCCTGATGAGACTAGATGGGACCAGGGCAGGAGCAGGAGATTAGGAACCGGGTCTGATCTGTACATTCCAGTCAATGCCATCAGAGTCTAGGCAGCGTTGGGACAAAATCATTGTGCTGGGTGATTGATAACAACTCTTGATGGGGCAAATGTGACCAGGAAAATCTCTGAATGCCAAGGAACTGGTATCAAGCCCGGCATCCTCTTTCCCCACCAGAGTGTGAGCGGAGTCCCTGGGTGTGCAGACAGCTAAGTTCTCCTCTGCTAACGAAGCGTTGGCGGTTCGAGTCCGCCCAGAGGCTCCTCGGAAGATGACCTGGAGACCTGCTTGTGGAAAGCAGCAGTTGATGACCCCTGGGCACAGCTCTGCTCCGGTGCCCACAGGGTCACTGTGACTGGGAGCCAGCTGGCCTGCAGTGAGCAGCGCAAGGCAGGGAGGCCTGGTTGCCTAACAACACTGGTCGCGTGAGCCCCAAAGGCAGATCGCCAACCATTCCACCGACCAGTCAGAAAGATGCAGAACCCAGCGCGGCGACTGACCTGAGCTGTCGTATGCTGGGCCCTCCCACGCGCTCTGCCATATACTCACTGGACCACAATGGAGGCAGGTACAGTTCTTAGCTACCTTTTCAGGTAAGGAAAAAGAATATTGAAGGAGGGCAATGGCCCAGACCAGTTAAACCTGCACCTCAGCGAGGAGGAGGTTGGATGTAGCCATTGGTATCGTTTAAAGCCCCTTAAGGAGCTCTGGTGGCGTAGTGCCCAAGGCATTTAACTGCTACCTAGAAGGTTGGTGGTTCAAACCCACCAGCCACTCCTCGGAAAGAAGACTGGGCAATCCACTTCTGTAGAGGTGCCACCTCAGAAACCCAAAAGGGGTCACTATGAGTCGGGATGGACTTGATGGCAGTGACCGTGGGTTTGTTTGATTGAGGAGCTCTGGCAGTACATTGCCTTAGGTAGTTGGCGTTAATCAGAAGGCTGGCAGATCCAACCCACCAGCTGCTCAGAAGAAGGAAGACGAGGCAACCTACTTCTATAAAGATTTGCCAGCTTGGAAACCCAGCGGGGGTTGCTATGAGTCGGGAAGGACTTGAAGACAGTGGATTTTAAGGGCAGCCAAGGAGCTCTGGTGATGCAGTGGGTAAGGCGCTTGTCTGCTAACCAAACGTTGGCAGTTTGAACCCACCAGCCGCTCTGTGGAAGAAAGATGAGCCAGCTGGTATACAGCCTTGGAAACCCAATGGAGGTCACTGTGAGTCGGAATCCCCTTGGAGCCAGCGAGTGGGTGAGGAGTGACTGAGAAGTACGGCCACCACCTGCCTGTCAGGGAGGCTTGTGTGTAGCCAGGACGCTGAAGAGGTTTCAGAGAAGCTTCCAGACTAAGATGGACTAGGGAGAAAAGCCTGGTGACCCCTTCGGAAAGTCAGCCAGCAGAAACCCAGGCATCCCGACAGCGCAGCCAGCCAGCAACCATAGGCCTGGAGCAGGACGGGGGGGGGGGGGGGGCGTGCCAGTCCACCGTGCCCGGGGTCCCCACGGGTGGGCACCACTCAGAAGCAGCCACGACAAGATGAACCCCTGGGCACCACATCCAGGCCACAAGCTGCACGTGGAGGAGCCTGGGTGAGGAAGCAAAGCCACGAAATCCAACGCCCACCGCCTGTGGCCGGACCACTGCACACACTGAACCCACTCTCCTCCATCTTTAAGAGGAAGACAGAAAGGAACAGGACAGCCCGGAGACCCTCCCGCCCCTGCCCATGGAAAGCAAGTCAAGCAGGTCTTAACCACCAGGCGCATGCAACATCAGCCTGACGACTCTAAGTGCAAACGGAATAAGCCCGGGTTTTCTCTGCGGGATCCCAGCGGCTCCGTCCTTCCATCAGTGGCAAGGAGCATGGGCAGGGGAAGCCACCTCACTCGGGTGGTCTTCACTCACCGAGACGCTGGGGATGTTCACGTTCACCAGCCTTACAGAAGGGTGCATAGTCCCATCAGAACACTTCTGTGCCCCTGGGCGGGGGCCCCACGGGATGGCGAGCACGGCTCGTGCCCCCGACTCCCCAGCAGCATGGGGCCGTGACCCCCCTTTGCATACATTCTGGTGTGGGGCGCCGACCTCAAGTGCCCTGTCCCCCCGCGCCAGGCGGGTCACACTCAGGCCCTCCCACTGCCACGGTGCCCGGCTCACGTGCAGCAGCAGGAGCAGCAGTGCGGCGCGCTCCCGGGAGCCCATGCCCACGGAGGCCCAGATGCAGCCCGGGGGACAGCAGGGGCGCGACCGCTGGGGCAGGCCGCTCCTTCCAGCCCAAGCCTCTGCTCCAAACGCTCACCTGCCACCTGCCAGCCTCTTTTATCCCCACTCTCCCCCCTCCTGGCCCGTCTGGCATTTATCAGGGTGGGGCCAGCTGGCCTGGAGCAGAGTTTTCGGGAAGGGTGTGGGGAAAACAAAAGCAGAGAGCTGGCACTGACCCCTGGGCCGCAGTGAGTCAGAGGAGCACGAAAGCAGTGTTTCTGGGTCAGCTTCCTGCTGCCGCTTCCTTAGAAGTTTCCAAATCTAAAGGCCAAAGATCTCATTCAGGGGCAGGACTCCTTAATGGCTGTGACCTACTGAGGCGCTCCATTGGCACAG